TGTGGCTCACGCCTGTAATCCTAGCACTCTGGGAGCCGAGGCGGGCGGATTGCTCAAGGTCAGGAGTTCAAAACCAGCCTGAGCAAGAGCGAGACCCGTCTCTACTATAAATAGAAAGAAACTAATTGGCCAACTGATATATATATATAAAAATTAGCGGGCATGGTGGCGCATGCCTGTAGTCCCAGCTACTCGGGAGGCTGAGACAGAAGGATCGCTCGAGCCCAGGAGTTAGGTTGCTGTGAGCTAGCGCTGACGCCACGGCACTCACTCTAGCCTGGGAACAAAGCAAGACTCTGTCTCAAAAAAAAAAAAAAAAAAAAAATCTGCATTAGCTTGCTAGGGCTGCAATAACGAAGTACCACAGACCAGATGGCTTAAGCAACAGAAATTTATTTTTTCATAATTCTGTAGGTGAAAGATGTGAGATCAAGGGGTTAGCACTTCTGATGTCTTCCTCCTGGCTTGTAGATGGTCATCATTTCTTGTTTTCACATGGTCTTTCGTAAGTACAGATCTGTGTCTAAACTTTCTCCCTTATAAGGACACCAGTTATCTTGGATTAGGCCTCCCTAGTGACCTAATTTTAATGTAATTACCATATTAAACACCCTATCTCCAAATACTAGGGAGTAAGCTTCAGCATACGAATTTTGAGGAGGAATAATGCAGTCATAACACTCCGCCTGGCTTGGAACCTGCACCCTATGAGCAAGCTGGGGGGAGGGCTACTGTGGCCCTAATATTCTCAGCCTGCCACAAACTGGAGTAGAGCATCTGCCCTGCAAGTAGGGACTAATGTAGGGTAAGGAAGCCCAGTCCTCCCATGCAGAAAATGTCACCTTAGACTAGAAGCTAAGAGATGACAGAGACCTGGTCTTCGCATGCATAGCTGTGTAAAGTAAAGGGGACATCACTCTGAGTTGGGGAGGGGTGGCGATGAGAGTGGTTATAGTTCAAAGGCCATAATGACTCTTCCTTTTCTTACAAAGATTGATTATATTTTCTTGAATAAATATTTCTTTGTTCTGTGCCATTTAAACAATTTCCAGAAACTTTAAATTAAAAAAAACAATAATTTTCACTCCTTATATGTTGTTTCACTGGCAAGATAGTCTGCTACAGATTGAGGTTTATCAATTTTATTGACTTCTCATTTGATTTTGGTTTTTTCTTCTTTTTAGCTTCTTTTGCAGCTTCTTAAGTTTGGGTCATTGATTTGAGATTTTGTTGTAGTCTCCAGATTTTTCTTTTTTTCTAATATAAGAATCTGATACTATAAATTTCCCTTTAAGAATTGCTTGACTACATTCCACTTTCTTCTTCTTTTTTTCCTTTTCCTTTTCTGTTTTTAAAGATAGGATCTCTTGGCCCGGAGCAGTGGCTCACGCCTGTAATCCTAGCACTCTGGGAGGCCGAGGTGGGTGGATTGCTCGAGGTCAGGGGTTCGAAACCAGCCTGAGCAAGAATGGGATCCCGTCTCTACTATAAATAGAAAGAAATTAATTGGCCAACTAATATATATAGAAAAAATTAGCTGGGCATGGTGGCACATGCCTGTAGTTCCAGCTACTTGGGAGGCTGAGGCAGGAGGATGGCTTGAGCCGAGGAGTTTGAGGTTGCTGTGAGCTAGGCTGATGCCACGGCACTCCAGCCTAGGCAACAGAGTGAGACTCTGTCTCAAAAAAAAAAAAAAAGAAAGAAAAGAAAAAAAGAAATAGTGGTGAAGAATGTTAAATAGTTAGTATATAGTTTATATGTTCAAGAAGGTAGAAGGATGAGCATTTTAAGGAGAGAGATAAAAAATGTAAAAAAAATCTATTTCACAACAATGTGAATATACTTGACACTACTGAACTGTACACTTAAAATGTTTGAGATGGCAAATTTTGTTATTTTTTTTACCAAAATAAAAAAAAAAACACTGGCTGGACATAGTGGCCACACCTCCACTTTGGGAGGCTGAGGCAGGAAGATCATTTGAGGCCAGGAGTTTAAGACCAGCCTGGGCAATATAGCAAGACCTCATCTCTACAAAAAATAAAAATAGCTGGGCATGGTGGCACACCTGTAGTCCCAGCTACTCAGGAGGCAGGAGGATTGCTTGAGAGTGGGAATTTGAGGTTGCAGTTAGTTATTATGACACCACTGCATTCTAGCCCAGGCAATAGAGCAAGACTCTGTCTCAAAAAAAAAAAAAAAGGTTGCCAATTTAAAAGACAACAAACAAACCAACCCACAAAGAGACATCCAGAGATGAAAAATATAATGTCTGAAAAGAAAAACAGTCTGAATAAGATTATCAGCATATTAGACACTATAGAAAAAAAGATTAATAAATTTGTAGATAATAGAAATTATCTAAAATGAAACAAAAACAGGAAAAGATGAGCA